AAATTATTAATTGTATAATATCATTAAATTATTTAAAAATAGTTAAATAAATACTGCGGGGGCTAGTTTAGTTTTGCGGGGGTTACAAAGTGTTCTAGAATTTCTAGAACCTGATCTTCACTATATGATAATTATACTTCGCACAATTTTTCTAATATATTTTTTATTTTTTTTGTATTCGAAAATATTGCACGCATAAGATATATTCAATTTGACTTTTTAGAATTTGCATTATTGAAATACACAGCATATATCAATATTACTGATACAACTCGTTCTTGTATAGTAAACTATTATTATTAAACTTCAGCTCAGTATATACCATATAGGCGCGTAATAACGCACATGGCCGTTATTTCAAAAATTCTATTTTTTTGAAAATTGCATATTTGACTCAAAATAACGCCCATGCGTGTCTCGAAATAACATGCACCCAGAATAAATTCATATGGAAGTTTTTAATAGTTGTAACTGTTTCCTTTAAAATTATTCAAATTATCGCGCATGCGCGTTCCAAAATAATATAGAGTCTCGAAATAATACGCATGGCGCATTATTGTGCGCCTATGTGGTATATAGTATCCTCTTGATATAAGCTATAGTAAATATTTTTATTCTAAGCCTGATGACTTCATTATAACGAGAGCAAGTTGTATATGATCAATGCGTAACATTAGCTGGCAGTTTTCTACTTGCATAAAGTAGGTCGGTCATAATTCTAAAAAAATTTTGTAATTACTAGAAAATGGCAAAATTCTACTGAAGAATACGAATCTAAATTGTTTCATAAGATGCAAAGAGAATCTTGATGCTTCTTTTTATCTTGGTATTCCCGTGAATTTTGTCATAATTTCTAAAACAAGCAGTAAATTAAATACCAGATTGGCTATCTAACCAGGTTCCTATACCAGTTAGATACTCAAAACAATTATATAAAGGCGCGAACATATCACCGTTTAGGCTATCTTTTTGATCTGTCGACCTTTCATCAATTTGAATTATAGAAATCATGTCTAGTTGGTACCAAAAATTAGTTTAGCAAAAACCTTGGGCCCGAATTGCTTTTCAGTGCGATAATAAATCATGGATTGTGAGAGAAGTAGATATAGCTTTGGATGTACTTGACCTTTATTCAATTTTAACTCCTATTAATTTAAAAACTATTAAAACAAAATTTGATCCTCATGCGAGATATTATCCATATCAGCAAAATAAAAATAGTGATATATGCTGGGTTCCTTTATTACCCGGCTATACTGTATATACACTTTTTCAAAATAAATTTTTTCAATTTAAAATCGTTAAAGATAAAAATAATCAAATATGTTTCGAATGGTATGATTTTGATAATGATTCGACGTTTCAAAACTTACAAGAAAATAGATCAGACTATACAGCTTATAGAAGTTTAAAGTATAAATATAATTCTGAAAAAAAGTTATTTCCGTGGATTATGGGATTTCTTAATAATGACAATATTCTTTTCTTACAAAATATAGTAACTCGACATTTTTCTCATATATTCGATCAATATAACCAAACTATAAAAGCATTTCAAAAAGAAACTAGATTAGAAAATACTATGAAACATGTTGCCCATGAACTCAATAATAAAATAGGTGAAAATGAATTACCGATTACTAACGGGATTTTACTTGAACGCCATAGCAAATATTCAACTCCACAAGAAACCCAGGCATTAATGGTAAAGTATAATGAATTAGTACAAAAAAATTATACTTTAAACCGAAAGATCCAACGACTTCAACAAAAAATTACTGAACTAACTCACGATAATGAACAATTCGATACTGAAGAAAATTTCAATAAATTGTTAGAAGTAATCGATGAAAATATCAATAAAGCTAAACTCGGATCAACCATTTTAATAGACTCTAAAAAATATCTTTTATTAGTTTTTTCGCAACCATATATCAATTGTGGCAATAACCAAATTTCTAAACGTACTCATATTGTTGATACGATTGGATTTTCAGTAAAATGTCAAATTATTTGTCATTTGTGTGGTGAAACAATGGAAAATAATAACGAACCAAAAAATATTCACTTTACAAAAGCAGTTTCAGCAGCAGCTTTAGCAGGAGGTCTTACTTATCCTTCATTACAAAGTATTTTCTCATGTATTGGAATTACTAGTCAAAGTTGTAGAAAAAATTATTATTTATATCAAACTCCATTATTTTCTTATTTGGTAATAAATGCTAAAAAGTCTACGACATTTTGGCTCGAGAAAGCTTTAGAATTTATGAAACAAAAAAATGTGAATTATTTATCTGTAAGTTTTGACTGTTCATGGTCACATGAACGTAATGCTCGACAAGCAAGTGGGAAATTGATTTTTCAAGAACCTATACCTGGTATATTATTTATAAATTCAGATTTAAGGAAAGTTCTATTTTCACCTGGGTTAAAGTCACCTGATATATATTTAATTTTTATAATACTATATAATATAAATTCATATAATATTGTTAAAATTCGTCTACCCTAACTACTAACTAACCAATCCATAGAATTTTAGTTATAATAATTTGCATTATATAATATAATATATCGCGTGATTTTAACCTGGGTGAAAATAGAATTTCCCTTAATTTAATAATATAAAATAATAAAAACTTCTATGTAAATTTAAAACTAGAGGTTTTTTACAAGTATTTACGGAATCTGTGCTTAGTTATGCATAATGTAGATCATGTGTAACATATTGTACTACCGTTACAATAAATCTTCGATTGAGTTAACTTATATGCTAATACAAAAATTATATTTTACACATCATATTATTTTTGAGT